CCGCGCTTCGCACGTCGAGATTCGACGTTAGAAATGGTAGAAACGCCGCGAACGCAAGGATACGACGTTTCCGAGCTTCAAACGGCGAGAATCGACGTTTGAGCGGTGGGAACGTCGCGGGCGCTCGGATCCGGCGGTTCCGCGCTTCGCACGTCGAGATTCGACGTTTGAATGGTGGAAACGCCGCGAACGCAAGGATACGACGTTTCCGAGCTTCAAACGGCGAGAATCGACGTTTGAGCGGTGGGAACGTCGCGGGCGCTCGGATCCGGCGGTTCCGCGCTTCGCACGTCGAGATTCGACGTTTGAATGGTGGAAACGCCGCGAACGCAAGGATACGACGTTTCCGAGCTTCAAACGGCGAGAATCGACGTTTGAGCGGTGGGAACGTCGCGGGCGCTCGGATCCGGCGGTTCCGCGCTTCGCACGTCGAGATTCGACGTTTGAATGGTGGAAACGCCGCGAACGCAAGGATACGACGTTTCCGAGCTTCAAACGGCGAGAATCGACGTTTGAGCGGTGGGAACGTCGCGGGCGCTCGGATCCGGCGGTTCCGCGCTTCGCACGTCGAGATTCGACGTTTGAATGGTAGAAACGCCGCGAACGCAAGGATACGACGTTTCCGAGCTTCAAACGGCGAGAATCGACGTTTGAGCGGTGGGAACGTCGCGGGCGCTCGGATCCGGCGGTTCCGCGCTTCGCACGTCGAGATTCGACGTTTGAATGGTGGAAACGCCGCGAACGCAAGGATACGACGTTTCCGAGCTTCAAACGGCGAGAATCGACGTTTGAGCGGTGTGAACGTCGTATGCGATACGGAGTTATTGCGGTCCGCGCTTCGCACGTCGAGATTCGACGTTTGAATGGTGGAAACGCCGCGAACGCAAGGATACGACGTTTCCGAGCTTCAAACGGCGAGAATCGACGTTGAGCGGTGGGAACGTCGCGGGGCTCGGATCCGGCGGTTCCGCGCTTCGCACGTCGAGATTCGACGTTTGAATGGTGAAACGCCGCGAACGCAAGGATACGACGTTTCCGAGCTTCAAACGGCGAGAATCGACGTTTGAGCGTGGAACGTCGCGGGCGCTCGGATCCGGCGGTTCCGCGCTTCGCACGTCGAGATTCGACGTTTGAATGGTGGAAACGCCGCGAACGCAAGGATACGACGTTTCCGAGCTTCAAACGGCGAGAATCGACGTTTGAGCGGTGGGAACGTCGCGATCGTATAACTTCGTAT